TACATATTTTAAAGAGTTTCATTTGATCTCATTCGTTCTACCGTCTAAGATTATTCCCACTGTTGAACCACATAAGGTTTCGGTAATATTAAGCAAGCTTAAGTTAAAGGAAATTATTAAGTAAATTATAACATCAACAAACTTTTTATTTATGTTATAAAAGAATTTCAATGATTGAACTTTTTTTTTTTTTTGTTACATCAAATAATAATCTTCTTCAAGTAATAATTTTTTATTCATTTTAAAGTTTTAACTTGACATTTAAGATATTTCTTGAGATCTTAATGGCTGATGATGATTCGTACCTATTAAAAAAATAAGGGAATCTTAAGTTGTAAAATTAAATATTTTCTTAGAGATTTTACTTAATCTAAAATCTTTTTTTAAATTAATCAAATTTTCAAATTTAATAATTTGTTTTTAAAATCAACAATTTAAATAATTTAATCATCATTTTTTTATTAAAAATAAAATATTTTAAGTTTAAATCGCATAACATACATATAAAATGAGATAAAAAATAAAAAAATTATGTTTTATTATGTAACTAACATAAGATAATAATAATAATAATTTGTTTTTAAACTTTAGTATTTAAGTTTTTTTAAAAATAATTTAATTCTCAGCAACTATTTAAAAAAAATCTTCAATGCCTCAAAAAATTTTCTCATGTTCAAAAAAAACAAAAAACTTTCTTTAACTAGAATGGTCGGCGCCGGAGAGGCTATCCGTGGCCGGTAAAGGGAAAAATTTGGAAAACGGAAAAGCGATGGACTGACGGGGCAGAAGTAAAGAAACCCCCACATATATATTTCCACATGGTCGGTAAAGGGAGAAATTTGGAAAACGGAAAAGCGACGGACTGACGGGGCAGAAGTAAAGAAACCCCCACACATATATTTCCACACAGCCAGCTGGTGGTCTCCCACACTCACATGGCCTTTTTGCGTCTGTAAGTTTATAACCTGGGATGGGCCCCACTCTCTCCTGGTCAGACTTTTTCTTGGGCCCACCTCTTACTCATTCTGTGGCTGTTTATTTTTCTTTGATGCCAAGCTGTCCCAACCCCCACACTACGCCTCGAATTTACCTTACAATTAATTTCTCCTTTAGCTATTTTAATTTTTATGAATGAATCTCACATTAGTTTTTTTATATTTTTTTAAAGGTTTTTTAACGTATATTTTTAATGATATTTTTTTAGTATTAGTTATTATTAAAAAAAATAAAATTTAATATTTATTTAATTAATCATTCAATTAAAATAATATATATAGTATTGATAAAAAAAATTAATACCAATTTTTATTATTTTTTATATTAATTAATATAAAAAATATATTAATTATACTATTAACTTGTATATTTTTACTATACAAATTAGATAACTTATTTTTTAAATCTTTTTAATAGAGTACAATTATAGGTGAGAAGTTTTGAACTCAATAAACACTCATCAAACCACATGAATTAAAATTTTAAGTGTGAATTTTACGTTAGGTTGACGTTGAAAGAAATTAATTCTACACCACTAATATTAAAACTTGAATCTTATTTATAAAAAGAAATCACCTATTTAAACAAGTGTAGTCCCTGTTTTCATTTCCCTTTTTTCCTTTTTTGTGGCAGTTAATTAATTCCCCCTTTTGGGTGTTTTTGTTGTGTTCACAGAATTTTCCTCTACCTACATTGTGGTCACCCAGTTGGGGATTGGACTTTTTCATTTTTGAACCTCAAGAAAATTAGTTGGGGATTGAGCTTTAGCCCTTCACTTCTCCATTACTTCAATTTATAATCACACACTACTATATAAGTACTAAATAATTCAAATTCACTCCATATAAAACTAATAAATGCATTTTAGTCCTCTTAAATCATAGTGATGTATTTTCAACTAATACCAACTTGTTTTTACTCTTCAATGCTTGCACAGTTTTAGAATTGAATTTTTCTGTTTTAAACTACAACTTAATTAATTAACATGTATAGTTGTAGGCCAACTTTAGCAATTAAATCTTAGAAATGGCATACATAATTCAGCCAAAGTGCAGGAGGTTGTTGGGAGATGGAAATGTTTCGAGAGCTCAATAAAGCAATGTCAGAGAGTAGAGTAGATAAACGGAATAGGGTAGAGACAACCAATGCCAATTTCATGACCATAATAAGGTCCATAACCGTCTTTAATGATGACATTTGATGGCAAATTTAAGATTTTAAGGATTGAAAAAGAAGTGCAGGTTTGGGGATGACATCAACCGATGGAAATCCTAAGTAATGAGTTTTTGTTTAGTGATTACTTGTTTCTATCTTCAGTTATATAATAATAATGTAGATTTTGAGATTGAAAGGATTTCACCAACATACTGAAAGGATTTCACCACCATACCTAAGAGCCTGCCATTGCCACTTTAGTACGTGGGCCGCCGTCACTGAAACATCATTTTAATATGCCCATTGTTGTGGGAATTATAATTACCCTGAAAAACACATGTAATCTTCTAGTTTTTTTTTTTTTTGTTAAATGTAGTACTATAGTTCAATTGGTAAGATATATACTTGTTCAGTATCCATAAGAAATGAATTCGGACCCCGCAAATCGACACTAGTATCAGAAAACTTAGCAGAAAAAAATTGCAATGTCGGCCTGACCAATATCTAGCATTTGTTATGTTGACAAAGAGATTTAATTTGTCTAAAAGGGTTTCAGCGAATTCTTGTTATCTTTAGTTGGGATTTCGTTTTATATTAAGAAACTACTGACCCCAGTTAGGTAAATGTTGAAACAAATTCATATTGTTCTGTTACTATCAATAATATCAGAAAAAGGAAAACAGTCAAACAGAGGGAATTCCTTTGCTTGGGTGCTTTTTCTTGATGAGGGGATTGAGGTAGACTGTAACTTAAGCAAACTTTTTCTGTGACTCCTTCATTCAGAAGGAATAAGCAAGGGAAAACGAAAAATTGTATTCTATAGTTAAAATTGTATGTAATTGTGAAGTTTAAATTATTAAAGTAGGGGAGACACCAAATATTAAAGGATTTATCTTTTATTAAATAGTTTAATTCAAATTATATAATAATATTTTTCAAATTGATAAGTGCAATAAATCAATACATTTTTTCTTTTTTTTCTTTTTTTTTTTATTTTGTTTTCTGTAGTTAAGCTGTGTTGAGCAATATTTGTGAATTTGATTTTCCTATATTTGAAGTTTTAATCCATTTCAAGGAAATACTGAAAATGTCAATGGGTTCATCACTTCATTGATATTGATTCAAAGTTTTTTTTTTATTTTTAAGAGAAGACAACATTTTTTAAAGAATTAGTTTTGCCCTCATACGCGCTGTCGATTTAGAGACCAGAATGTGAAGCTGAAAACAGTTGAATTTCTTTTTGAGTTTTTCTAATGCAAAATGATTTATTCACTTTTTTATTAACACATTTTATAATATTTTATTTAAAAATTATTATTTTTATATTTAAAATAAAGATAAAAAATTAAAAATA